GACGCGAATGGCACTCTATCAAGTGCAAGAACTATTATCATCATAATTCAAATGTTTCCAAAAATGGTTAGGAAAGAGATGCATCTCTTTAAAGCAAAATTGTATTTTTCAAAAAATACAAAGTCAATTGTCCTTCAAGCAATATTGGTCACTCACTCGATGGCTCTTTGTGGGACATCATTGTGTGTAAATTGGCTGCTGCATTTGCCCACAAAATACACAGTCACACCACTTTATCTTGTGAAATGTTTTGATATATCAAATGTAAGGATTATTTATTATTTAAGATCTCCAAGACGCTATCCCCCAAGAAGGGTACTGTATAAATTCAAGTTGTTGTTATTAGTTTACTTGCAATAAAATCCTCCCTCAAGTATTCCAACCAAAATATTATTTGTAGGTTATTAATTCAGCTTGTAAGATTGAAGTCTTTTTAACCATTCCCCCTGAGCATTCTTGTTAAAATGATGCAACAGCCATTTATGTACCACAGTTTACAGCCAGTTTTTTTTTTAAAAAAACACTCTGTAGAATTGGCAGATAACAACAGTCTTTTTCTTACGAACGGAGCCAAAACTCTCTGGAAAAGTTTTATAGCACAGCAACAAACCTTATATTAGCTACAAAAAATCCCATAAGGCATTGCAAAAAAGCACACTCCAATATCAAGTTACCAATGAGAAAGGTAAGCATTATTAACCGGAGTTTTGTGAATAAAACTATGAAATGCTAACTAATGATTTAAATGTTTAGACTAGCTAAATTATCTTTTACGTGCCTCCATGGCCTTGCCTCATCCTCTGTTGACCCTCTACTGTCCTTTCCATGCCAAGTCTGTGCCATAAACCCCTCTGCCTTCCCCCACCTCCCCAATATTGCCCGGCTCCACCGCTACCTCTCCCTTCAGGCCGCCGGAACCCTCATCCATGCATTTATTACATCTAGGCTCCATCATGCTTTTTCCCTGCTTGTCAGCCTTCCCAACTCTTCCCTCCATAAGCTGCAGATCATCCAGAACTCTGCGGCTCGTGTCCTCTCCCGCATTAGCCTACCTGACACGATCACCCTCGCCCGACTCCACTGGCACCCCATCCCCCAGAGGAAACAATTCAAAATCTTCATCCTCGCCTTCAAAGCCCTCTACAACCTTGCTCCTTCCTACCTCTGTGACCTGCTAATCCCATATCAACCTGTCCACTCCCTCTGCTCAGTCGGCTCCAGCTTGCTCGACATCACCTACCCAGCCCACCATCGGCAGACAGCTTCAGCTTTTTTGCCTCCACCCTTTGGAACCATCCCATATTCCCTTCGGTTGCTTCCTCCCTTGCCTCCTTCAAGGCACTTCTCAAGACCCTCCTCTTCGATCGCACCTTCGGTCACCCTCCTACCCCTACCTTCCCTGCCCTCCACCCCTTCTGATCCCAACCTCCTGCTCGAGTCCAAATCCCTGAGGGACATCCTTCCGATGTGAAAGGCACTATACAAATTCAAAGTTTCAATTACTCCCTCCACTCAGAAAACACCAATCAAATGAGGGCTGACCAGCACTTTTATATTCCAAACCTCTTGAAATAAAGGCTATTTGCACCTGCAATTAAGATTTTAATTATCTCTGAACCTAAACCTCTCTACTCATCTACCTCTCATAGTGTTTCCACATTGAGAATATTCTCTCAATTGCTCTTCTTCCAACCCATGAGTGCAACCTTACACTTTGCAGTGTTAAACTCCATTTGCAGTGATGAGAAAGTTTTGGACAATCTTTTAAGACAAAACAGTGCTATGGATCAAGACATGATGACATTTCTGGTGTGACATTTCTTAAAACTGCACGCAGTGAAATAATAATCTTTGCATTTGATATAGCTCCTTATCATGTCTTCGAGACATCTCAAATCGCTTCACATAATATACTGTAAAGTGAATTGACTATATTTTGGGGGGGCAAAAGGTAGTTTCAAAAGCATTTGTGTTTCAGGTTTTGAAGATATTATGAGGCATACAGTTAGTTGAACTGAAGGCATTTCTTTTGCGAAATTTCAGTGTTATACCTTCATAAAGGATTCACCAGGAAAAAGGCCAAAAAGATGAAGTGCTGACTGAACTAAAATAAGTGATCTGGTCCAAAATCCTAATAAAAAAAATGTGTTTTCTTACATATTGTGCTGTGGTGTGTTGGGTGGGGTAAAAAAATTAAGTGGCCAAGTGGAAAGGGACAGACTGGGTGTGGTGCTCATAAATGTACGGTTATTGCTGTTGTAATTAATTTCTTTGAAATGGTGTCCCGCTGGGACCATTTCTACGAAACCTTTCTGCCATGAAGTCCTCAGGTAAGGACATCAGACAAGCAAATCTCCAATGCTACAAGCTAGATATCTCCATAACACAGCTTCACACTTTATAGATAGCAGGAAGTGCAATTTGTTTGTGAATAAACCATTTAAATGTATGATTTCTTAAAAACACAATATCATAGGATGTTATTGGTTTACAGGCACATGCTGGTTGGGCTGAGTGGACTGTTTCTGCGCCATACAATTCTGTTTTGGCACTGACCTGAATCCTTCGGCTCCAACATTGCCTGGTTATTGTGCCTTTACTCTCCAGCTCTTAGAGCGAGTAGAAGAAGCTATTCTTGAAACTTTCCATTTACAGTGCTATGGCAGTGTTACTATTAGAGCATTAGACTTTCAACCAGAGAGACAAATATGAATTCCCAGCATCAATGTGCAATTCTCAGTATTTTTTAGCCAACATTTAATCATCAATCTCTTCAGCTTCAGAATCAAGGAGCCGGGAAGCAGAACTATCCTCCACAACTATCTCACAGTCATCTCCTTAGCTGCTGTCAAAGCAATGTTGGCAGCAGCTAAGGAAAGGTCTGTGGCCTAAACCACTCAAGGCATCCTGGCTCAATGCAGGAAGAATGAGGTTCCGGGGGAAGGGATATGACAAAGAAAATAAATCCAATGTTTAGCACAATCTACTGCCCAAATGTTTACTCAAGACTATGGCTTCCAAGATATAAACTACTGTACCGATCCGAGACAAAATGTAAATTCACGACAGTCTTTAAATGTAAAGAAAGGCTCATTGGCCAAAGGAGAAATAGAACTAGACTTAACAGTTGTAGAGTTTAAAACAATGTTGAAACAGACTGCTGTGAAATTTCACATCATGGCTCAAATACAGGTTTCTTTCAGATAAACTGTTCTAAATGTGCAATACTGTCGGAAAAAAAGTAGCAGTTTCTTTTTGGAATATCAACATCTCATATTATTGCACTTTCCCTGATATCAGGTTTCATATATATGACAATAACACTCACTTTTCCTTGAGATATAAATTATGTAGTCCTCTAGCACGTAAGCAATTCAACTAGCCAAACATCTGCTGATTAATGATTATTCTAAGCCAACGTTTAGGTAATAGAATTGATAACTATACTGAACTAACTTTCTTCCCCCTTTCACTTGTAACAGAAAGGCTGCTCTGTCAGAACAGTCATTGAGCTGTAACCTTTCCTAAATACAATTTTGAGAAGGAAAGTCTTGCTACTTGTACATTACAACAACAAAATGCATGTATATAGCCCCCTTCACACCAGATGACGTCTCAGCTTATATATACATCATATATTGTAGTACACTTCCTGGTAACCAACTTTCAAGCACTCGACCTGTCACTCATGTAAGAAAACTACATAACAGTTTGGTAGTTTGGAAAATATAAACATTTGTGAATTTGCCACCTGAACCGAGTAACAAGCACCTGGGAAGAGGGAAGAAATGAAGATATATGTATTCCAACAAAACGACGATTATAAAAAAAAATTAAGCACTAAATTATATGGAATATGTTGCACATGAATAGTTTTAAAGGATAAACTTCAGTTACAAACTATTTTTTAACAATAAAAGACATAGCAAAAGATAGACAAAACTGACTCTTTACTGTTCTCATTTTACAAATTGCAGGCTTCAATGATTCAGTATTGAATATATCATATCAAGATCACAATATCATAAGATCACAGAATTGATGAAGAAGTGCAATTTGTTTTCTATCTGAAATTACACTGCAAAATTACTCTTCTCCAAATTCTAGGACAAATGAATGGTTTATTTATTTTACGTATAATAGCTATTTGTTGGCCAAACAATCCCCAAATAAAATCGGTCACTCACTCCATGGCCTTTTGTGGAATATTGCGGCGGACAAATTGCCAGCCATGTTCGCCCGCAAAATACACAACCCTGGGAGAAGCTCCCTCTTTTAAATAGTGTCATGGGATCTTTAATGAACAGGCAGACAGGACCTCAGTTTGTTGTCTCATCCAAAGGTTAGCATCTCCAACAATTCAGTGCTCCTCAAGAGTATAGTGAACAGCTTTATAACAGTTATTAAAAATAAAATTTGCATATGATATTGCACCTTATCACATTGAAATGTTTCAAACAGCTTGAAGAGTTTTCTGATAAATTTTAGTGGGTGTATTTGGAGCTAATTTGTGCACAGGAGGTGAATGACCAATTTAACCAGAAGATCAGAACCGGGACAGAAGAAACTCCCTCCTCCTGTGTTACCTTCAACGCAAACTTCTTTTTGGACTAAGATCTACTTTCTTCAAGGCAGAAGTTGGCAGCCCAAAAATCAAAAGCAAATCATTTTCAAAATGCAAATGTACTTTTTTTTAAAGCAAGTTTCAGCAGCAATTTTATTGCCATAAAGTACTATTCTAAAGTGACTTGATTGTATTAGGTACTACATGTAGCACAGGAGGGGCAAAGAAAGGGGCAAACATTCAATAAAAACAATGTCACCACGCTCCAGTCTGCATAGCTAAGCGTTTTCAACAAAAGTAAAGAGCAAATGGAGCGAAATGACATTTTACATTTTCCCACAATTTCATCAGAATTCGATCAGCTGACTAATAGCTCACAGCAAAAGCAACTTTTAGCAAACAAAGAACGCTACCCAAAAAACAAGAAATGACTTACCAAGTTAGCCATATAAATTGTCAATAGGCCTCTCCTGCAAACAAAAAACAATGGTTTAATGAGATATCAGCACATAATTAATTAAGGGCTAGAACTTCTGATCTGATATGTACTTATACAGCACACAATACTGCACAGTAATGAATGAATGCACTTGAAGAAAAGATATGAAAGGCCAAAGTGACCTGTTCACATAAACTGCTCTTTTTTTAAAAAAAAACACATGATATTAAGAGTGCCACGGTGGCACTTCACTACAAAGTGGGAAGAAGTTAGAAGAAGGCTGAGTCAACAGTGAGAATCTCCTGATCTAAACCAAGGAACTGTGGAGAGGTGCCAAGTGAAAACCAGGTCCTTCCGAACCAGGAGAGAACAAAAAAAAGTCAAGAGAACTTCTGTACTCTTCTGATCCGAGAAGTAAAAGGGTTGGGCGAGTCGGGGGGGGGCGTGAGTCGGGGGGGGGGGGGGGCGGGCGAGTCGGGGGGGGCGGGCGAGTCGGGGGGGGCGGGCGAGTCGGGGGGGCGGGCGAGTCGGGGGGGGGCGGGCGAGTCGGGGGGGGGGCGGGCGAGTCGGGGGGGGCGGGCGAGTCGGGGGGGGCGGGCGAGTCGGGGGGGCGGGCGAGTCGGGGGGGCGGGCGAGTCGGGGGGGCGGGCGAGTCGGGGGGGCGGGCGAGTCAGGGGGGCGGGCGAGTCAGGGGGGGCGGGCGAGTCGGGAGGGGGGGGCGAGTCGGGGGGGGCGCGAGTCTGGGGGGGCATCTGAGAGGGGAGGGGGAGTCGGAGGGGAAGTCGGAGGGGAAGTCGGAGGGGGAGGGGGTGTCGGAGGGGGAGGGCGAGTCGGAAAGGCGAGTCGGAGGGCGGGAGGGCGAGTTGGTGGGGGAGAGGGCGAGTCGGGGGGGGAGGGCGAGTCGGGGGGGGTGGGGGGGAGGGAGAGTCGGGGGGGGGGGGGGGAGGGCGAGCCGGGGGGGAGGGGAGGGCGAGTCGGGGGGGGGGGGGGGGGCGAGTCGGGGGGTGAGGTCGAGTCGAGGGGGGGGGGGGGGGGGGGGAGTGGGGGGGGGGGGGGGGGGGGGGGGGGGGGGGGGGGGGGGGGGGGGGGGGCTGCGAGTCGGTGGGAGAGATCTCATGGCACTACTTAAAAAAAGGCAGTTTCTCTCAGTCTTCTGGTCAACAATCACCCAAATACAATTGTCCATTCACTTCATGGCCGTTTGTGGGGTATTGCTATACTCAAAATGGCTGTTTTGTTTGCCACAAAATACAGTAATTCCACTGTACAGTATATCCTGTGATGCGCTTTGAGATGTGGAAAGTGCTACATCAAATGTAAGTATTACTATTTATTATTATGATTGTGTCCCATGATCCACTGTCGGTGAGTGAGCCTTTTAGCCACCTTGCCTCTATTTTCTAGCTCTCTCCCAAATTCCTTCCACCTTGAATTTCAATAACCTTCTAAAAACCTAACGCTTTGATTGTTTCTTCGATCATCTCCTTCCAATACCCCATGTCCAGTCTCTCCCACCTGCTTGACTTCCGCTCTGTGTCTATGAAGTGCTTTAAGATAATTTCCTATGTATAAAGCGCTATATTGTTGTTCTTCCTGAAGGGATATTGCTGCACAATTTTCCCATTGGAGATCCGAGCATACGTCTGGCACCATGTGGAAGATTTTAAATGAAAAAGAATAAAAACCCAATTAAATTAAAACTGTAAAGGAAGACTCATAATAAACATTGTAGATTTTAAGCACTGAGCTTACTAATGTGAAGGGAAAAACAAGGTACATTTTGGTACATCCAAAATTTAAAACTAACATAATCATAAATCGACTTGAGACGAGTATAATGGAACAAACAACATGTTATATAATTTTATGGGGTCTTTTGTACTGTGCTCTACAATTTACAGTCACTGGTCTAGCCAGTTGAACCCGTAGGTTTTAACAAATAAATGTACAGTAAGCATTGCTTGGATAATTATACCTTACACAATAAATGATTTAATAGACAAAGCAAAACCAGGCATATGGTGTTCAGGGATTTTAAGGTGACTATGCCAACCGCCAGTAGAACTGGAATGTGATCAGAGGCTGATCATTTGCAGGCCGTCACCAAGAACAACTGCCATGTCTATTGCCTTGTGCAATAAATACAAGTGCAAGTTTAAATTATATAAACAGCTCCCTTTCAGCTAAGCCCAACAGCACAACAACAATAACAAAAGTGCCTTTCACGTCGGGAGGACGTCCCAGTGCTCAACAAGATATTCAGCACTATTTGTGTCAAGACACTTCGAAGAATATACTAATTTTTCCAGTGAATACCAGATTCCTATCAGCTGCTTCACTGTGTCAAGTAATGTAAATTTCTAAACATTTTGGTATTCAGGAAAATAACACTACAAAACCAAAACATCTGATTGAAAAATAAATCCAGATGAAAATATTTCAAATTAAAACAAAATATCTAAAATTATCACTGAGGTAAGCACCTCCAGTTGTGCCAATCACTTTCATTTGCTTGTGCAAATACTTGCAACCACCTTGACAATTGCTAGTAATTAGAAAACTGCAAGTTTTATTACTGGATGCTATTTTGAAATGACACTGAACATTTGGCTGTATTCAGCACAATGGAAATCTCAAAAAAGGTTGAGAAAAAGATTGAAATTCTTAATCAAAAATGTACATGAAAACACCAATTTAAAGTTTTTGATAAAAAATCATAGAGGGCCTTAATTTTTTTTTGTCTAAAAAAATATTTTGCAACTAATTTTCCTAGCAACTAACAAGAAAGTTGTGGATACTGTTTTTTTCACAACAAACTGGCTGTTACACAACACAGCTTGTTCAAGAACTTTCCAAAAAAGGTAATGGTGTCTATTTTAAGTTTTCCACTGTAATACATTGTTGTGAAAGGGAAAAAAAACAGTGAATTGTTTGCTAAGTAGGACGTTCACTTTAAAATCAAAGTTTCTCAAGTTACTGATGTACATCAGGATATCAATGTGTGCAGTAAGTTTTATCTTACCCAATACGCAGAACTTGATGAGGGAAAGTTTTCAGGAGAACCTATTCCTCCCCCCCCCCCCCCCCCCCGAAGGTTTCTGGCTTGTGCTGGGATAGAGTTCCATAACTCCTAGCAGTCTCTCGACTGTTGTGTCTTTTGCGCATGCTAAGCTTGATCATTTTCTCACACGCACTCCAAGCAACAGTTAGTGGATCAGGACCAGGAGTAAGAACATGACAAACTTTTCCTTACCCTAATCCAACGACTCAGAGACCAAATCTAAGCACGATCACCACATGAGCTCAGTTAACTTAAGATAACGTGAGGGGCGTCATCTGTTTTAAAAATAACTTTTTTTTAAGTGATATCCAAAAGCCTGGCAAAATTGCTTTGCAACAATTAGTAGTGCAACAAATTTTCCTAGCGACCTAATGATTTTCCTAGCACTCACTCCATGGATTTTGTGGGACATTGCTGTGCGCAAATTGGCAAACACATTTTGTCCACAAAATACACTGTAAATCCACTTTGCAGTATATCCTGTGAAGTGCTTTGAGATGTCTCAGTTATGTGATATGGCAGAATATCAAATTCAGTACTTATTTATTTATTTATTTTAGACAATGACCATCAACAGACTTTGACCAGAGAACAGTGGAGGCACACTAAAAACAGACTTAACCTTATCCTTTCCTAATACACACATGCTCACATCCTTTATCTTCCAGCAAGGATCACTGGATGGACAGCAACTGAAAGTATAAACAATGGATGATTTTTTTTCTCTCCCGAACCCAAAGGCCAATCTACTGCTGCCCAGTCTGACCATCCAGACATTGGTTGAATTAAATTAAACAATAACAGCTTTCAGTTTGGGGATTGGGGATTGCAGTTTGGGGATTCTTTTGTCGAACGTAGACGTGTGGTCCATTGGAATGGTTCTAGGTGAGAAAACAATATGCATTAATTCAAAACTAAGGTGCTCACATCATCTCAATGAGTGATACTAACGTTTACCTAATTCTGTGGAGGATACCGGATGAGTACAAGATATTAAGGGGTTCAGACAACATGTTTTCATTGCATAGAATCATACTGCGCAGAAATGGGTTGTTCAGCCCAACTAGACCGTGCTGGTGTTGGACGACACACAAGCCTCCGCTGCTGCTATTCCTTCTCCCTTATATATCACCTCTCTTAATTATATTGATGCTTTTAGCTTCAACCACGGCTTCCAGCAGTGAGTTCCATTTTCTCACCACTCTCTGGGAAGAGTTGAAACTATAGATTACTTTTTTTTTNAAAAAGATAGTGGATATGATTTTTAATGCATTTTTCGATTGAAAATAATTGTAGCTATGTCCATAACACATATACCACTCACAAAATTTGTCTGGAATAAATGGATTATAAATAAATAATTTTCTAATTGTTTATTAACAAGAATGGCATCACACATCAGCAAGGACCACATTGTGGTCAGCTTCAGCATTGAAAGGTGTTGTTCAGAAATGGAAGAACTAAATAAATAAACCTTTCCCTGAAATTTTACAATATATTTAAAGGACAAAGGGAAATCTAGCAGCAATCATAGAGCATTGATCCATTATTAGGGGTTCTGTAATTGATGACATTATTTCAATCTCTTAGTTAGATTGCCTTGAAATCACTTCCAGGTATATTCTGTTCTCCAAGTTCTTTAATTATTGCAGGGAATATATATTGAGCTACTCACACAACCCATGTGGTCTTCATAGGTTAACTATTTTCCTTTCATGGTCCAGAGAAGATGTTTGTTTTCATTGTTGTAATAAAGTCAGTTGCAGCCAATTCCTATGGTTTTAAATGAAGCTGCTACACCACATCAGGGTGGTACTGATGGCCTGTGCTGAGAAGAGGTGGGGGGGCAAGCAATTAGACAGGATTTCTACCCACAATCACTATCCAGTGATTTTACTGGAACATATCAAAATGTGGTGGACATTTGGGTGAGGCTAGGATCAGGATCTACTATCTGAGTTCAAACATTA